GGAGCTCGGGATCTATAGTTTGGACCTGGAGCTCTGGATCTATAGTTCTGGATCTATAGTTTGGACCTGGTGATCTAGATCTATAGTTCTGGACCTGGAGCTCTAGATCTATAGTTCTGGATCTATAGTTCTGGACCTGGAGCTCTAGATCTATAGTTCTGAATCTATAGTTCTGGACCTGGAGCTCTAGATCTATAGTTCTGGATGCGGAGCTCTGGATCTATAGTTCTGGACCTGGACCTGATTGATGGTTTCACCCGGATGACCCGTTTCAGATGTTCAGAACCTTGACCCGTACCGGTGGGTTGGTGGGGGACTCCAGGAGGCTGCAGAGGTCTTCAGACCTGAACCTGGACCCTGGCTGGTTGCCGAACAGCTCGTCCAGCTGGGGTTTGAACAAGTCCCGGATCAGAACCTCAAAATCTGGAACCAGAACACAGATAAATGGGTCTAGTTCACACAAACAGGCTGCTGTGGTGTCGTTTTAATGAACAGAACCAGTCCAGAACCGTTAGAACCAAACTGGACCGGTCTGGACTTTGAATAATCATAAATCAATTTGTCATTAAACTGAATCAACATTTATCTTAAAACTAAACTTCTTTACACAAACATTACCTCTGCATGTGTGTGTGCACACGTGCATGTGTGTGTGCGCACGTACATACCTGTAAAAGCCACCGTCCCCTTTGGATCCGCTCGTAGTCTGGACCGCAGAGCCTGTTGTTGAGCCTCTGTGAGCTTCAGACCGATCAGACCCAGAGCCTGGACGCACACACACACACACACACACACGCACACACGCACACGCACACACACACGCACACACACACACACACACACGCACACACGCACACACGCACACACACACACACACACACGCACACACACACACACACACACACGCACACACACAGATCAATATGTCAGCTCGTCACTGATTGGTTGAAGGTTCTGCTCATCTTTGTTCTAAACTGAGTCATGTTCTACAGAGAAACACATTTGTCTGTTTGTTTGTTTGTTTGTTTGTTGAGACAAAATCTCAAACTGGGGGACAAATCATCCAAAGAAAACCTGTTGATCTAGAACTTTTTTCATTCAACCTTTATTTCTAGAGGTTAATCCCACTGAGCCTCGGGGACTCATTTACAAGAGAGACCTGACAACTTGATGGAGCTCCGCCCTCTGGACTCCACTGCTGTGATGTCACTTCCTGTTCGTCTCAGAATCAGTTTGTTTTTCTTCTAGGAATCAGCAGAACCTTCTGTGTTCTCTCTGGTTCCGCACAGAACCTGTTCTGATCATTTGGTTGAAGAACACAGAGGAACCTCACCTGCTCCAGTCGATCCAGTTTGAACCGGCAGCCGGCGCCGAGGGAACACGTCCTCTGAGCCACTGGGCTAATGGAGTCTGAAACCACACAAAGAGAACCACTCAGACTCAGCTGGTTCTGATCCATCCATCTATAATCTTTACCCGCTCATTCTATTTTGGGTCACGGGGGTCACTGGTGCCCATGTCCAGCAATCACTGTGCGAGGGGCGGGGGACACCCTGGACAGGTCTCCAGTCCATCACAGGGACACATGGAGACAAACGAGACAAACAACCATTCACTCTCTCACTCACACCTAGGGACAATTTAGAGTTACCAATCAGCCTAACATGCATGTTTTTGGTCTGTGGGAGGAAACTGGAGCACCCGGAGAAAACCCACGCATGCACGGAGAGAACATGCAAACTCCACCCAGAAAGGCCCCTGGACCGGGGTTTGAACCAGGGACCTGCTCGCTGAGAGGCAGCAGCTCTACCAGTTGCTCCACCGTGCTGCCCCTGGTTCTGATCATGACAGTCAAATCAAAACCTCAACAAAGAGCCATAAACAAACAAGAACTAAACAAACAATAAAGGAACAATAAACAAACAATCAAGGAACAACAAACAAA